CTGTAGAGCGTGAAAGAAAGGGAACTTACACAGTAGCAGGGAGCTTTCTGCGGTGTCTCCCCATACACGTTCACAGCTGAAACTGCGCTAGAAACGGCCAAAATGAAGCACAAACCAGCAAAAGGGCCAAATGGGTGGTGCACTGACCTGTCGGGCCCACATGGACGCATACAACCCATTTGGCTTCTGCAGCAGCTGCTGATGCGTTCCGATCTCTGCGACTCGACCTCTGTCAAGAACAGCAATTGTGTCGGCGCCGGCAACTGTGGAGAGGCGATGAGCAATCAAAAGAGTAGTGCGACCCCTGGAAACTGCTTGCAGAGCCTGCCAATAGGGTGTAAGCATACACACAGCCGAAATGGACAGGGCTTGTATTCACCTCATGACGGCAGGAATGAGAGAAGCTGCACCCTGCAAGTGACTGCTGCAAGACCCAGTTCCATATACTTTTCTCACGCCAATGCATATACACAAGCCTATATGTATAAATGTATAGATATGGAGGTTTCTGGTAGGTGTGTCCACGCCTCTCACCGACAGGAGGAGGAGCAGACACATACCTTAAGGATTTTGTGCTCGGTATGGAGGTCCAGGGCGCTTGTCGCCTCATCAAACAAAACTATCTCCGGGTTGCGCAACAGGCACCGTGCGATCCCAACCCGCTGCTTTTCGCCGCCGCTGAGGCGAAGGCCTCGGTCGCCAACAGGCGTGTCGAGGCCATCGGGAAGCGACTCCACCAACTCTGTTAGTTCCGCGAGGCGAATTGCTTCCTGCGCACCGCCGCCACAGAACAACTAAAGCAACAAACAAAAGCATGACGTCAGGCTGCCTTGGTTGGCGTCTTGCCAGACAGACGGAAGTTCAACAAGACAACGCCCGAATATGGATGCAGATGGAAGGATTCCATCACGGGAAAGGGCTCTCGGCAGCAGCAAACATATCCGGAACCAGCAGCAAGGAACTTTCTAAAAGCACCTTCACTTGTTCGTCTGTGGCGTGGGGGCTCCCGTATCGCAGGTTGAATCCGAGAGACTCGTTGAAGAGCGCCACGTCTTGGGGAACTACCCCAATGTGCTTCCTGTTGAGAGCACGCCGCGCACAGAGGCAGTAGCAACCCGCCCTCAACATGATGCTGCCCCAAATCCCACACCCACTCTTTATACTACCCGCTACTTCCATCACTTTGTTCGGAGGAGGCAAAGGAGTGGAAACGCCTTCACAAAAGCACTACTATGGAGCCAAAGAGGGATGCAAGGTACCTGAATGACATGATGGGGAGAGTCTTGAGGTCCTGTCCGTCTATAGACACGACGCCGC